AAAATGATCTTCTTAAAAATGTAATACAAAGCTAATCTGTTATACAGATAGCGCAAAATGAAGATCTAAGCTAAAAAGAGATCTAAAGGAAGATAACCCAATCAAAATTGTTACACATTGTTTATATTATCTTTTGGAATCAATTTCAGAAAGAAAGGATTTGTGAAAGAAAATTCATGATATGTGGAATGATATTGATATCAAGATATGTATCTGTCTCATTAAATCTATATCAAAAAGAATTACTGATGTAATAAAGACTTGTGATAATTATACAAGATGATAATCTAAATTGAAAATAAATAGTTTTTAAAAAAAATGTAAAAAAGTTAGAATTTTAGTGATTATTTACCAATTTTTTTTTATTTTGTTTAAAAAGAATAAATATAATATAATACCAAAAATTGATAGTTATAAAAAATTTAATTAAATAAAATTATTTGAATTGGCAATATTTTAAACTATAGGATTATATCATTTAATTATACTAATAATAATTATGATACTTTTAATTATAGAGTGATATATTTATTTGAAAATTTTTGTTTGAATATTGCATTATTTTTGATTACCACTATATTTAAGACTTCATATATTTTTGCAAAATATTTATCTTGATATTTCTTTATTAAATCTTTTTTATTAATAAGAATAATAATAATTACTGTAATATTTATTAAGTATAATTAACATAAAAGTATATTTGTAATAATATTATCTTTGTCAAGTTCGTATTTTACTTTAAAGTTACTGGCTTATAGAATTTCTAATTAGCAAGCTTATCTCTTTGAAAGATTATATTATATTTTGATATATTTTAAAGAAATATGATTTATAATTATTATGAATTTTTATTCTTCTAAATATAATTTTCAGAATTTGATAGTATATATAATTAATAATAATTATTTTTTATGAATTAGATAATTCTGTTTAGCTAGTGATAACTTTTTTGATTTAAATACTATAGATTAATTATTCTTGTCTTGATTTTAACTTAACACAGCTTCTATAGTAAAATCTAAAATATCTGTAATAATTATAAATAAGAATTTTGATTTAGATAATAATAAGTCTAGTACTAATATAAGCTATTATTTAAGTAATAGAAATTTACTAGAATTTTACAGATAGACTAATAGATATATTTTTGCTATTTCTATAAATAAGTACAATATATCATTATTAATTTAAAGTGAATTTTTTTAATAAATAGAAATTTCACAAAACTATAATGCTTGATAAAAAATATTAGTAAAGGACCAAGAATCAACTATCAACTGTATAATAAATATTTAATTTTTATTAAATTTAATGAAAATGTAAAAAATTTTAATTAATATTACATATAATATTTTTTCAATTAATTTTGATTTTTTAATAATCTATCTTATAAATTTTTTTTCAGTCTTCTATCAGATCATTGGTAAGAACATTTTACTAATATATATAAATAATTTAAATTCTTTATATATTACATTCAAATAATAACAGATTCTTGATTAAAAATTATTATAGTTACTAGATCCCAAATATATAGATTAACAAACTTAGAATACTAATACTGCTGATATAGTATTGTAAAGAAAATTAAAAGTAAAATTAAATAATAAATCAAATAATATTCATAAGTATCTTCATAAATAATAGATAATTATAATAAAATTAATAATAAATGAAAAGTGTCTAATGATTATCTCATAAGAATCTAATAAGAGACTAATAGATATCTAGGATGAATACTTATAGATTGTCAAAATGAGTCTCTACTTCTATAATTGATTCACTAATTATATTTATTCTAGATCACAGGATTTCAAGTAACATCTGATGGTCAAAAATCTTAATTTCCAAAAATTATGAAATTAAAGAAATTTATGTTGCTATGGTAATAGTATATAGCTTATGTTTTACTATATAATTTTGAGCCGGACGATACTTTTGTGGATACTGTACATTCACATATATGTAATTCCCAAAAACTATGATGCACATGTACATGTACTATGTAAATTAAAACTACATGTACAGTACAGGTACATATATGTGGTATCATATAAAATTTATTATTGAATATTTTTTATACACGTATAATTTATTCATATACTAGTATCAATGACAAATTATTATCGTTATTATGAGAACAATAAATAAAATTTTAACCTTGAAGTAATATCAGGTTCAAATTGCGATGAATGTATGGAGTTTTCTTTCGATTTGTTCTTGTTTCCTTTAATCCTTCTGCGGAATTTTCTTTATCAAGTTTGCTTGAGGATAAACGAAGTTTAGACTGCTTGAGTGATAATGACATATTGGGATGAGTTTTTGAATACAATTTATTAAAAAGATTCTCTACTTGCTGTGATGAATAATTATAAAATAGATTCAGGTCTTAAAGAAATGATGAATGATTTATCATCAATACAGAATTGTTCGGATTCTTTAAAAAAATTATCGTTTTCTAATAGCAACTCACGTAAGACAAAGGTATCGGTTATTTTGTTTTTCAAATAATCTTCAAATTTCTTTAGTAAATCCTGCTTCCAAATCCGTCGGTGATTTAAGCCAAGGTTTCATTAAAACAACATGATAGAACTAGAAGCAAAAGATTTAGCGTTATTACCACCATGACGGCAAATGGCTAATGGTAAATGAAGCCAAGGTAAGAACCATTTCTCAAAAAGTTCCAAGGCTCTAACGATTCCTTGTTCCAATCGTTAAAAAATGTTCCAAATTCCTCACTAAATAAAGCATCTAAAGCTTCTAACAAATTCGTTTGCAAAGAACACTTCAAAATTCTTGACAACTTCTTGAAGAAATTTATGCTACTTATAAAGCTTATCAAGCATTTCATGAGCACATCAATCGGGAGGTAATTTAACTCTTGTCAATTAAATAACTATTAGTTATTTCATTTATATTTTTATATAAACTATATTAATAAGATTAAAAGACAAGATCGAGAACTTATAATAATTATAGTAATATAATAATTATTTAACCAATTGTCCATTTTGATAAGTACGTAAAACTGGATATTGTCCAATTATAAATTGTATTAATGGTTCGTAAAATGTTCAGCAAAATTTACCAAGCATTTAATTTGAATATTTAATTTCAAATCACGAAGCCAAGATTGAAAAAGATATCAATCATTAAGATATTGCTTTGGAGTTCCATTTCTTTAATAAACCAGCTAGCAATTTGAATATTTGCAAATTATCGATCAAGATACTGTCCATAATTCATAACCTCATCGTGCTCAAAGTGGTTAATTGATTTTAATTATAATGAAATTCTAAAAATCCATCATATAAATTTCTAATTATTTGTGAATTTATATTGAGTGGCTTTCTACTTGAATCATAACCGTCATGTAATTTCCAAGCCAAATAAAGCAAATCATATGGATGTGATTTCTTGAAAAACCCGTAGAAAGTGAACACATTTTTTAATATCTAGATCATTTTTTGGAATATGTGCTATTGTAATATCAGATACAGCTTCAGAATTACTGTATATTTTGTAAAATTTTGTAATTGAACAACCATTGCAATAGGCAATTGTTCTTGCTCATTCCAGAATTGATAGCAAAATATTAGATTTTTATTTGTCCTCGGGTTGATTCATTAAAATTACTCCAAATACAGGCGCTTTTTTTTGCTTGATAAATTTGTCTATTGAAATCTAATCCTGAAACATCTTCATGCTATGTACGCAGAGTAGACAATGCTAACCAATTTTGAGATGGTCTCCTGTTAAAAATTCATAAATTAACCACATACACTTAACAGTAGAACATAATGATGTCTGATCCACTTGTAAAATATTCGTAGCAAGCCATACATTATTTGAAGAATAAGATTTTTTATTGTTAAAAATAGATTTAACCTTTTGCGAAACTTTTCATCAGTAATTTTCTTTGAATCTCAAATTAAAGGATGAATTTCAGCTATTCACTTTGATTTTTGATTTTGAAAGTGTTGAGCTTTTACTCCAAGTGATTGAGTTCGTTTAATAAGTGCTTATTTTTTTGATAAAGTTTTTTATTTTATTTTTCTAATTTCGATTTTGAATTTTGTAAACTAAAATTCAATTTATATTTATAAAGACGTTTGAGCAAGGCAATTATATGCCTTTTTTTGCAGATATGGTAAAATTATTTCTTCTTTAATTGAACCCGTTGTATTGAAAGATTACTTACCGAAGACATATCTTTAACAGGCAATTTTTGTATTGTTGAAATTAAACAATTTCGTTGCAAATTTTCTGTTTGTGTAAATATCACTTCATTAGTAGCTTCATTGGTGAATGGTTCCATATTTTATTGTTGAGCTTTCGATGTTTTTCAAGTCGTACATGTATTTTATTTAAATTTGTTAATTGGAATCGTCGTTTATATGATTTATAAATACCATGATTTTTTTAACAGTAAGCTCCTTCGAACAAAGTTATGAAGTTAAATTTATATATTCATTAAAAAAAATAATTAGTTAATTGAAAAATATCCCAAGCAAGCGAAAATAATAATTGTATATAAACGCGATCAGGAGAAATTTGATTTCCCACAGATAATATAAAACCAAAATCTTGTAACTTTGTAAACATTACGAGTGAGATGTACTGTACAGTTTGCATGATTTATTTTAATATCAATTGATACTTACTCGTAATATTTACAAAATTACGAACATTATTTATGGGAATCAATTTTTCCCAATCTCGTTTTTTATTTTTCTTGCAAACTAACATATTTAACTTAAGGAACGAAAAAAAAATCTTCGATAATAAATTTTTATATGATACCACATAAAGTTTTGATTTACAGTACATAGTACATGTATATGCACATGTACTCAGTGTTGTCAATGGACATGGACGTGGACATGGACATAGGTTGGACTGGACAGTCCGGTCCAATGTCCAACGAAAAATCGATGTCCAAGGCATTTTATATGTCCACGAGTAATACAAAAAATAAAATGAAATTTTATTGAAAATATTAAAACGGTAATACTAATGCCTTAAAAAGAGATGCTAATTTCCATTTTGCGCATTGGTCAACCGCGGGATGAGTAATATCTTCTATAGAAGTTTCTTCTTCTATATATTCTCTTTCAAATTGTTGTCGTTCTTCTTCTAACATGTCTGCCCATTCTTGTAAATAGGTATCAAACTCTGCTTCGAAATTTATTATTTCATCTAATTCTTCTTCATCTAGTGTAGTTTCAGAAGAATTTTGTTCTTGTGGCGTATTTGAAGTAGAGGCAGAGGTGGATTGTTGTTCAGCAATATTGTCATGTAGATGTTGTATATTTTGATTTATTGTTGAATCAGGTTGAAGTCGGTGACTATATGTAATATCAGCGCGTAATTGGCTCATTTGTAAGGTTTTGGCATTCTAAAATTAAATTATAAATATTAATATAAAATCTTGTAATTCAACTTATTTTATTAGACTTACCATTAGTCGGTTAAGACGATTTGTATGTAAAAATCCCATACAACTCCAAAGTCGTTCTACAGCAGCAGCATTTGTACAAATTCCAAAAATATGATTTGCACCAAACCCAGTTCTTCTGTTGATGCACTTGCAAAACACCAATAACAATAGATATCATCTGAAAATTGATTCCATGTAGTATCATCAAAAGGATATTGTCTTCGGCGATAATCATCAAACTCTTTAAGAATGCAATTGGCTTCTTTTACAAACCATGCTTTATAGTAGTGTGCTAGCCATGGACCGAAATTAGTATAGTTGATACTTTTGTTGAATTGTTCCATATGGTAATTGGGATGTAAAAGACAGGCAAGATTAATAAAGGTTGTTCTTAATTTCAATTTAATATATTTTTAAGACGATTCTATAATTAATGATGTCTCTACTCTTTGAGTTCTTTATATTGTAATCCATCCCAATCATCACAAGATGGACTAATGAATTCAAACTTTATAATTATTTTTTTATTAGAATCCTCAAATTTTAAACTTTTAGAATATATATTTTTATAAAAATTGATCCACTAGAAATTCTGTAATGCTAATTTGAATGAAATTGATTACTTTTGTGTTTACTAACTTCAACTGATATTTTTGATAGAATTTACATATTAACTTTAAATAAAACTATATGATTAAAATCAGCAAAACCTGCTCTAATTAATGGTATACTAATATTTTCTAGATAATTTTTCTATAGATCAATGCATTCATGTATATATTTTACATGATCATTTATTTAATATCTCAGATCTATCAGAAAATCGTGTTGAAGTGGTTTGACCTTGATTTTTGTGTTTTCATTACATTATCTACTTTAAATTTAGGTGACTTAATATTTTATTGATTTCATTTATTGTTTTTTTGACTTTACATAAACTAAAATTTTTTTTAAAAAGCACGAAAAATATTTTTTCTTAAGGTAAAAATCTAATAAAAAAGATCAAATAGTTTTTGCGAAGATGGGTATAAGCACTCTGTTTTTAATTAAATTTCGCAAATAATTGATCGGCATGTTTTACATATAACGCCAAAATTTTATAAATAAAAATATAAAAAATTTTTAAACTAGAAATTAAGCGCATTCAATAAAAAAGTACATGCTCATGTATAATAAAATTGGATGCATGGCATGGTGTGCTACAATCAATGTTTAAAGTTCGTTGCCGATCTTACGTCGATTTCTCCTGTTGCCGATCTTACGTCATACCGCAGTGGTAGAATATTCTTCGTACATCTACAGAAGTATAGCGATAGCGACACAATTTTATAATACAATTATCCTCCTTTTAAAAAAGGTAGGTACAATAAAAATACATGTACATGTACATAATGTTTCTGTATATCAGTATTTGTGCTGTTCAAAGGTTGTCATGCATATTCGGATCTTGAAAAATTATTATAATCCAAGTTTGGTCGTTAATATTCTCACTTTAACAGGCAGTTGCTCGAAATTTTACGGGACCAAAGTTACTGACATTTTAATATTTAATCCTGCTAACATATGTTTACAAATTCATTTTTCAAAAGTAGAATGCCACCTCAGAAATATTTCAGAAATAAATTTTTTTCAATGACTACATGTATTTATGAAAGTTTCTTTAAAAAAAAAATAAAAAGAACATACTTTTGCCGGGGACTCTACTAACCTAATGCGGGTATTTTGAATCTATATACAAGTACGCGTGCGTTTATGGAAGTTTACTTTCTGAATTGCTTGTAATGTATAACAATCAGAATGAGATGAGACTCTACTGTTACAAAAAGGATTTTGATCTTAATGTATCATCTTTTCCGACAAACTCTTACAGAATAATGTCAATGCTGCGCTAAATTTACTGCGATATGTTTTGACAATTTGATATTTGCATTTAGATACATTTAGAATTCGTACTATCGTAATTCTGTAAGCTAATTGTAAAACTTAGACAATGGTTTCAAACTACATGTACATGTACTATTTAGAAATAGCGTTCTGTTGCAAATATTAAAATAGAAGTTGTATAATCACGCCTATTGGATGGTTAAAATTAGATGTACTAGTAAATTATATTATGTGACTCTCCCCTAACGATAATGGTTTTGTTGTTGGCGTTAACTAAGATTAGTAAACATGTACATGTACAGTATGTTATCGTTATCGTTATACATGTAATCAATATTGGTGTAACCCATAAAAATTATACATGTACTTGTATAGCGAAGTTGTATTTTACGTTCATCAACTCTAACATTTTTTATTCATCATATATTGAGATCATGCAGGTTAACCATAACATTATTTTATTACTGAGCTTCCTCACTGTATCTATTTTTGCATGTACTCCCAATAATTTTGATGGAAATTATATCGCAATAAGTTTAACTGGAACGAGCACTAAGAATTGGCGAGCGAATATAGGAGGCGGCCTTGCGTAAGAATTATGGAGAGATATATTTGTCATATAAACAAACTTTAAAAATTAAAGCATTTCAAAATTTGACAGCCAGCCAGACGTGCAAGTTATCATTTTTAATAGCGGCGATCATCCAGATAATAACGAAATTTTCACGATAGCACAGTCAACACCTGGAATTTTTGAGATTTTTGCATATATCGATTTCTATCAGTCGCTTGGTATTTAGCAACCATTTACTTCCTATTAATGTTTAATTGTATTTATTTTGAGTAAAATTTGCATTTGACTTATTGCAACATAGTCGTTGGGCAAGCGCATGGCACTTTCACACTTCAAAATAGGTTAGCAACTTTCTCTCTTTTTTTCTGTGTACTGGAATGTATAAACAATCTGGCTAATTTTTTTCACTTTTTCCTAAAGAACCGATTCGAATGCTCAAAAATTCTCTTTTGACTGTGATACCTGTAATATCAAAGCAAATTCGCAGAACTGGAAATTATACCACACTTCATGTGGTATAAAGGTAGGGGGAAATTCAAACCTTGAACCATATGACTATAAAAGTTTATCTAATTACTGCATGTTGCAAACATAGAATGTTGACAATGGTTTGTGTATGGATGCTACCGACTATTATTCTGGCGCTAATATTAATCAGACTTATTGTACAAGTGCGAGCAAATGGGATCTTTGGGGGTATATCAGAGCATTTGAATTTAATGTTTATTTGTTCGACATGCGGCCAGAGTTAATTTCTCCTTAAATTTCAACAGAATAACATCAACCAATAATGCCAATGTTGCCAATTCCAAACCAAATTCGAAAATTACATCTGGTGTTCAGCTCTCAATAGGTGGACTTGTAGGCATATTTGTTGGAATATGCGCGTGTACAGCGCTTATTACTCTTTTGGTAGGGTATTTGTTTTTCCGACACCGTTATTCTAACATAAGCAAAATCGATCGAGTCAATCATGAAATTGTCGAATAGTTGTGGCGGGTATGACGTGACGATATTTTGTCAACCTAAGATCGATCTTTGGTACATTCGATTCATCTGATAGAAACATTTTGTAGTATTTTGAATTCGAAATTGAACACAAATTTTGTCTTATCTTATGCAGTTATCCACATATAGATCACAACCTCTATATACTCACCCAAATTTCTAGAAATCCCTCTTTATAATCACAAGATTATATATAATCACTATCACGACCGTGTCTTTTACATGTATTTTTTACTCTCAACCACTACAATCACCAAATATGTGATTGATTGGCACAAATACTGGCATTCGATTAGGCAAATCGAACGGCAGTATTTTTGCGGACCAGTTCTTTTTTTGAAACATCCCAAAATTGAATAAATCAATTTTTTTATTGGCAATCGATTGACGATAAATTGTATTAAATGTACCATATAAACTACATGTTATCCCAACTAACGCTAATCCCGTATATAATGGAATGGATTCATTTTTGGAAGATTTACTATGTTGAATATCTTGTAAAAAGGGGTTTTTGGGAAATTTATAAAGTAACCTGTTGGATGAGCTGTTAGATGAAAATACACAGAAGTATCAAAATAAATTTGAAAGAAGAGAAAAGAAATTGTGTTGAAATTAGCACAATACTCCACGAAGTAAACTTGAATACTTTCTAAAATTATTTTATTTTCTGATACAATCAAATTTTCAAAATAGTTTCAGACAGCTCTAAAGTGATATAACTTTGGCAATACATGTACATTATACATGTAAAATGAATTCTCTATGCAAAAGATGACGATCTTAGTAAATGGCTTACGATCGACAATAAGTACCACCAATTTTATGTTTTCAGAATATAAAAATTGGTCCACTAGAAACCAGTAATTCACATTTGAATTAAATTGATCTTAAGTTTAATAAATTTAACAGATATTTTTGAGAGAATTTACATATTAAATTTATAAAAAATATATATGAATAAATTGATCTATAGCTTATTAATAAAAATAATCTAGAAAATATAAATATATCATTAAATAGAGCAGATTTTGCTGATTATAATTATATAAATTTTATTAATTATTTAATATTTCAGATCTGGTATTGAAGTGATTAGATGTTTTACAGTATGAGACAAAAAAACTGCAATTCTTAATTTTCTCCATAAATATTTATTTAAATAATATAAAAATTTAAATATATATACTCGTATGCATGATAAATAACTTTACTTAAGACTACTTGAACAGTTATCATATTAAATTTTTTATAATTAAATTTTTAAGAATAAAAAAATTATTATAATTAATCTTAAGTAAACTTGTTTATTAAATTATCAAGCATATATATTTAAAATTTCATATAATTTAAATAAATATTCATTAAATATAAGTAAAAATAATAATTGTAATTTTTTTATTTCATACTATAATATTTACTAATTTTATTTTTATATTAAAAATCTATAAGTTTTAATTTTTAGATATTATAAATATTACTTAAAAAAGTTATTTAAAAAAAGTAAAAAAGTGTATTTTTTAAAGTAAAAATTAAAATAATTTTAGTATATGTATAAGCATATTTTTTTAAATTTTATAAATAATTAATTGATATTTTTAAATGGATTCAATAAAAAATATAATAAAATTATATATATAAATTTCTAAAATAAGTATTTATTATATGTTACTGATTATAATATCTTTAATTTATAATATATTACTAAATAAGATTTAGATATAAATTCCAAAAATATTATTTAAAAATTCAATTAGTATTTAGATATAAATTATAAGTAATTATATATTATAACTATATATTAAAACTATCACTCTATTTTATATAAAAAAAGAAAAAAATAAAAACTATTTTTGGTTTTATTTATTATTTTATTATAATTATTATTATTTATTAATTCTATTTATTAATATAATTAGTTTCTTTTATTTTTTAGTAAATATTTTAATATTAAGAATAAAAATTCTTTTATTTTATTAACTTTATCTTTATAAATATAATTAGCTTTATTTTTATAACTAAAATTAGTTTTATTTTTGTTAACTATAATAAATTTTAATTAAATTATATTTTTTTTAGTTTTAATCTTTATTTTATATTTTTATATTATATTTATTAATTTATATTACTTTACTTAGAAATTATTTTCATATTAAAATACTTAGATAATTATAATATATTCAATTAACTAAATTAATTATATATTATTATACTAATAAATATTATATATTTGTAATATTAATTTTTATTTTTCTTTAATAATTTTTATTTATTTATTTTATTTCTTATATAGCTTTATTATTATTATTTATATTATTATTTATTATATTTATAATTAGTAAATAAGTATAATTCATATTCTAAAAAATAAGTTAATAAGTTTTTTTATATTTAATTATATATAATTCATATTTATTATTTTATATTCTTAAATTATATATGATTATATCTTATTATTATTATATATTTTAATATTAGACTTGATTATTATTTAAATAATAAAATTATAAGTTATAAATTGAAATTATCAATTTATATTTATTTTATTTACTTATATTAATTTTTAATAAATATAAAATTATTTTATTAATAATTATAAATAAGATAAAATATAATATAAATAATTTTAATTTATAAACTTATAATTTTATTATTTAAATAATATTCAGTTCTAAAGTTAATTTATAAAATAGAAAAGATATATTTATTGAAATATAAATAAATTATTAATAAAAATATATATAGATTAAATAGAATTAATTAACTTAATTTATATCTTTAGAAAGTAACTAATTATAATTTAATAAATTATAAATAATATAAATAATTATATAAATATAATAAAGAAAAATGAACAAAAATATAAAGAAAATATTAATTAAAATCTAATTAAAAATATTAAGAATCTAAATTAATAATTATAATATATATAGTATTCATTTATAGAATAATATATAAAATGTAATCAATTAAATATATAGATAATTATTTATATATTTAATATGAAATTGATCTTTAAAATATATAATATAAAAGATAATTTATTATACAAATAATGCAAAATAAAGTTTATATTTTTTTATAAAATTAATATTTATTTAAATTTATTATATATATAAAAATAAATTTAATATTAAATAAGAATATGAATTTACTAATATTTATAATTATAATTCTATATATTTTTTATTTATTATAATATCTTATTTATTTACTAAAATCTATTTAAATAAATATTTTTATAAGAAATATTTATCATGAAATATTTATTAATAAAAAAATAATAATAAATAATAATTTGACTTTATCTATTAAAAAAGTAAGTATAATCTTGAAATTAAATTTTATATAACTAAAAATTCTAATTAAAATTATATTTATAATATAATTATTAATATTATATTAGTAAGTAAATTAAATATAAAGATATTTTACTTATATTTTATATTAAGATAAGAAAATAACTAAATTAAATTTGATAATATAAAATAAGTTATAAGAATTCTTGATATAATAATTATAAATCATTAAAAAATTTTTGGACTATAGTAATTTTATATTAGTTACTTAATTTATAATAATTTATAAAAGTTATCAATTAATTTATTCAAAATTTACTTTAATAATATTAGAATAAAGAATAATATATTATATAGATTAGTACAAAAGATTTGTATCTTAATATAAAAACTAATAATTACTTTTAATAAAAATTAATAATTATTTCTAATAAAAATTAATAATTATTTCTAATAAAAATCATTCAAATTTTAATTAATCTTTATAATTTTTTTATATTAAATAAA